GGGGGCAGGGGGTACCAGGGTACATTCCACAGCCCGGCTCTCAGCCCCCTGCCGCTTCCCAGGTCCGGTGGAGGGACACCTGGACGCCTGATGGGGACTGGAAGCTCAGAAGGCAGGGGAGCCTCAGGCTGAGGGCGGCCCGGGGCTGTGGTCCTGCAGCGCCACCTGGGGGCGACCGGGAGGAAGGCCACAGGAGGGGGAGCCAGAGGACTGGCCAGCTCCCCTGGTGGGCGGGCCTCTGGGGAGGAGTCGGGGTCCTCAGGAGAGGGATGGGGGTCGGGGTCCTCCAGGGTACGTGCCCCAGAGGAAACGCCCCAGGTCCTCGGGGAACGCCGGGCGTCTGCTTTCTGTTCCCATCAGTAGACGGGGGTCGGGGGGGGGGGGGGAAACTCCCCCAAAAGCCTGGGCTCCCATGGGAGTGGCCTTGCTGGGGATCCCAGTGGGGAACCCCGTGACCGGAGACACCCACTCCCCACACTTGTCAGAACACTTGTTCTTTTTTAATTTATTGATTTTTTTTAACAGAGAGGAAGGGAGAGAGAGAGAGAGAAAGAGCTAGAGAGAGATCAGCTGCCTCCTGCACGCCCCCCACTGGGGATGTGCCCACAACCAAGGCACATGCCCTTGACCGGAATCGAACCTGGGACCCTTCAGTCCACAGGCCAACGCTCTATCCACTGAGCCAAACTGGTTAGGGCCAAATGCTATTTTTAATAGGCCTGATCTAAACATAGGCAAAACATATATATATAATATATTTTATTGACTTTTTACAGAGAGGGAGAGGGATAGAGTTAGAAACATCGACGAGAAACATCCATCAGCTGCCTCCTGCACACCCCCTACTGGGGATGTGCCCACAACCAAGGTCGATGCCCTTGACCGGAATCGAACCTGGGACCCTTCAGTCCACAGGCCAACGCTCTATCCACTGAGCCAAACTGGTTAGGGCCAAATGCTATTTTTAATAGGCCTGATCTAAACATAGGCAAAACATATATATATAATATATTTTATTGACTTTTTACAGAGAGGGAGAGGGATAGAGTTAGAAACATCGACGAGAAACATCCATCAGCTGCCTCCTGCACACCCCCTACTGGGGATGTGCCCACAACCAAGGTCCATGCCCTTGACCGGAATCGAACCTGGGACCCTTCAGTCTGCAGGCCGACACTCTATCCACTGAGCCACACCGGTCAGGGCAGAACACTTGTTCTCTTAGGAGGCCACACTTACTCCAAGACCCTTCGAATGTTCAAATCGGGGAGGCTGTGGAGTCCACGTTGTATGGGTGAGGGAGGAATGAGCTCAGAGATAAGGGCAGAGCTCCAGAGGGGAGCTGGGGGCGTGGGGCAAGGAGGGCGCCCCGGGTATCGCTGAGGCAGCACCGGGCCTGAGGGACACGCACCTGGGCGCTCTGCCTGAAGCGCTGGAACGGAGGTGGGCATTTCCCGCTGAACCCTGCCGGCTGCACCCTGGCACCGGTGCTCCTTACCAGCAGTCCTCCCGAGAGCCTTCGCTTCTGCTGCATTTCCAGCTGGGACCCCGGCCAGGCCCCTCCAGGGAGCAGGTGAGCCAACAGGAACGTGATGTCTCACAGTCCGGAGGCTGGACGTCCAAGGTCAGGGTGGTGGCAGGGCACATGCCCCCACGGCAGGCTCAATCCCCAGGTGGGGGCGTGCAGGAGGCAGCTGATGGATGATTCTCTCCCTCTAAAAAATGAAAACATATTTTTAAAAATATTTTTTAAAAAGTACCATGAAGAGGCGAGCTAGAGGCTGTGAGACAGTATGAGTATTACATGTGTCTGATAAAGACTTCTCCCTAGACCAGTGGTTGGCAAACCATGGCTCATGAGCTACATGCGGCTCTTTGGCCCCATTTAAAATATATATATATATATATACATATTTTATTGTTTTTTGTTTGTTTGTAAAAAAAAAAACAACAACAAAAAACAGAGAAAGAGAGAGGGATAGAGAGTTAGAATCATCGATCAGCTGCCTCCTGCACATCCCCTACTGGGGATGTGCCCACAACCAGAACATGCCCTTGGCCGGAATCGAACCTGGGACCTTTCAGTCCTCGGGCCCATGCTCTATCCACTGAGCCAAACCGCTTCCGGCCATCTTTGGCCCCTTGAGTGTGGCCCTTCCACAAAATACCATGGCCTGGGCGAGTCTATGGTGAAGAAGTGGCGTTAGAAGTTTAAGTTTAAAAAATGTGGCTCTCCAAAGAAATGTCAGTCGTTGTACTGTTGATATTTGGCTCTGTGGACCGATGAGTTTGCCGACCACGGCTCTAGACTATATAAAGCATGCCTACCCGTTAACTGATAAAAAGATAACCCGGATTGCAGGCGGATCACGAGCATTCTCGTGTTTTCATATTACACAGTGTGTACGACGACTGAAATTTCTTTCGAGAGCCACTTTTTTTTAACTTCAACTATACAGATAGGTACATTGTGATTAACTTAATGAGGGTCCTCCCAAGCTGGCCTTTGCTAAACACTCACGGGGCCAAAGAGCCGCAGATGGCTCTCGAGCCACGGTTTGCCGACCGCTGGTCTAGATTTTCCAGAATCGTCTCCATTTCAAACACAGCCAGCGATGGCCACTCGTGGGCCGGACTTCGGTGCTCCCTCCTATTTAGGGGTGACGCCGAAGGACCCGCTCTGGGGGCTTTATCCACTCACCGACATGGAACTGTTGTCACGTGGAGTTCCGGAGCCGTTGCTTAGCAACGAGCATCTCCTCTGGCCAGCGGGTACCTGCGTCTCCACGCGGCTCTGTAGGCTGCCCTGTACGCAGCGACTCCGGTGAAGGGGACTTGGAAAGTGGCCTCGGAAAGCATCACAACGGCTGGGGGAGGGGACCCAGAAGGGAGGGTCTTTCCTCAGCGGGGGAGGGGTCTTCTGTGGGGCCAGACAGGCCCCCGCTCTGCAAGGAGGCGGGAAGGGGTGCTGGTTTTAAGAGGACAGCTGGGCCGGGACCGGTTTGGCTCAGTGGATAGAGCGTCGGCCTGCGGACTGAAAGGTCCCAGGTTCGATTCCAGGCAAGGGCATGTACTTGGGTTGCGGGCACAACCCCAGTACGGGGGGGGGGGGGTGCAAGAGGCAGCTGATCGATGATTCTCTCTCATCGATGTTTCTAACTCTCTATCTCTCTCCCTTCCTCTCTGTGAAAAATCAATAAAATATATTTTTAAAAATAATAAAAATATTAAAAAAAAAAAAAAAAAAAAAGGACAGCTGGTGTGCTAAGAGTTTGCCCAGAAGGAAGAGAGAGAAGCCTTTGGGATGGAGACACTCCATGAGACACCCCAGGAGGGCTGGGTTTGGAATAACAGGTAGGATGGATGTGCAGAAATGGGAGAACATTCCAGAAGGAAGGGTAGAATCGTAGGATAGGGGGTGCGTGTGCTGCCGTGATGAACAGTGCTAATGGGCACAGTCAGCACAGGGCAAGCTCAGCTTCCTGGATCAGAGAGACCAGGAAGAGAACAGCTAGTTCGTGTGTGTGTGTGTGTGTGTGGAGGGGTTAGGATTCAGGACGCACAGTGAGGACCGGGAGCGAGATTCTGGATGCCGAATCCCAGGCCTCTGTGTGCAGCAGCTGACCTGGGGCCCCGCTGGACCAGGAAGCCACGGGTAATGCTGGCGAGCCTTCCTTGCTTTCGCTTTTTCTTGATACCTCCAGAAAAACATTTCTAGATGAAACAAACATGAAAAGTTAAACTTGTACAATTAAAAAAAAAATCTTCAAAGACATTCTGATTCCATCTAAGGGGCCCTCCGTGTTTGCACCCCCTTGTTTTGGCCCCGGGGGCAACTAAGATCAAGATCTGAGAAGCCCGGTCCTCCTGGGCCCACTGAATGTCCTGGCAACTCTAGGAGGTAGGCACGGTCATGTGACAGGTGAGAAACCGAGGCCCGTCAAGGGCGTGTCTCATGCTCAAGGTCCCAGAGCTCATGTGCAGCAGCACCAGAACTCAAGCCAGCCAAAACCGGTGTGGCTCTGGATAGAGCGTCGGCCTGCAGACTGGAAGGTCCCAGGTTCGATTCCAGTCAAGGGCATGTACCTTGGTTGAGGGCACATCCCCAGTAGGAGGTGTGCAGGAGGCAACGGAATCGATGTTTCTCTCTCATCGATGTTTCTAACTCTCTATCCCTCTCTCTTCCTCATCGATGTTTCTAACTCTCTATCCCTCTCTCTTCCTCTCTGTAAAAAAAAAAAAAAAAAAAAAAAAAAAAACAAGCCAGCATCTGTGACCACCAAGGCCAAGTTCCTTCTGCCAGAGCCTGATTGGTCGGTACACTCCATGGCACACCGAGCTCAGATGGGCCGGCGCTAAATCCTGGAATAACGGTTACCTGCCGACAGGACGTTCCTGGCCCGCGTTCTGCCTGGAGGAGCGGGAGGTAAGAAGATCAGGAAGAACGCTGGGGCCACAAGACGGCTGGTTCTTGTCATCCCGGCGTCTTCGGGGCCATTCTCCTCCCGGAGACCATGCGTGCCCTTGACCCGGCGAGGACCCGGTTTCTGGGGTGCGAGGCGGGAAACGGCATGTCTCTTCTGCTGGCGCTGTCCCCGCAGAGCACAGAGGGCTCTGAACGCAGGGCTGGCGCCTCCTGGGACGGGACGCTGCTGGAGGGGGATGTCCGTCCGCTGTAACTTCCCAAGGCGGCCTCCCCCCACCGGGAAACACCTTGTTGACGCCAGAGAAGAGGGCATTATTGAGTCCGACAGGAAATGGGTGGAGAGTGGGGGCCGCAGGGGGCAGCTGCCATCTCTTAGATGCTCTTCCTTCCCATGTGCAGGACGTGTTGCTATGACAATTGAGAGCTTTGTGTGTGTGTGTGTGTGTGTGTGTGTGTGTGTGTGTTTTTCAGAGTTGGGGGAAAAGGAACCTCAAGAAGGACCCCCCCATGGAGACTCAGCGCAGGTACAAGGTGAAGTGCTATCGGTGAGGCCCATTGACGGTCAGCTCCTTGACTAGGAGACGGTGGTGATGGCCTGCAGCGGGATGTCCCCGTTGTCGTCGTCGTCGTCGTTCTTCTCCTCCTCCTCCCTCTTCAGGATGAGCCGGGAGAGCTTGTGAAGGAACCAGCCGACGTCCTGCGGGTCCTCGGGCCACCGCAGGTAGGGCTGCCGCTGCAGGAACGCGCGGACGGCCTGGTGCCTCCGGAGCTGGAACTGGGACAGCGCGCCCACCACCACCACGACCAGGGCGCCGGCGCCGCCGCGGAGGTCGGCCAGGCTGCGGCTCCGGGCGCAGCCGAAGGCCTCCAGGCACCAGCCGTCCCGCAGGAAGTGCCGGCTCACCACGCACACCACCTTCCTGCTGCTCCACACGGCCGCCTGGATGTTGGCCAGGACGCTCTCGCCCGGCGCAAAGTCCCTCTCCTCAAAGCACAGGCGCAACGGGTTGCGGGCGCCGTACTGGGCGTCCAGGCGGGCCAGCAGGGCGCCCTGCACCCACTCGAAGTCCTTGCCGCTGAAGCACAGGTAGGCATCGTACTTGTAATCGTCGGGCTCTCCGGCCCGGTCCCCCAACAGACGGCTCCGGACCGTCTGGTAGCAGAGGAAGCAGGACCCCCGGAGCTTGGCCACCGCCAGGATGGCCGCGAGGAACAGGGCCACGGCGACGGTGGACAGGACGAAGAGGGAGAAGCGGAGGGCGGCGAGCCTCTCCTCCTCGTCGCAGCCCTCCGTGGACAGCGAGGACAGGGGCGTCCCAGCCAGGGGGCCCGGGTACGAGCAGGACACGTCTTCGGGCGCCCCGAGGAGGGTGACGTTGGTCCGGTTGAGCCACGCGACGAAGGGGCCGAGGTCGCACTCGCAGATGAACTTGTTGTGGGTGACGTCCAGGAAGCGCAGGGACGCGAAGGCCGCGGGGTCCGGGGAGAGGAGCTGGTTCCGGGACACGTCCAGCACCTCGAGGCCGGGCGGGAGGTCGCCGGGGGCGAGGGCGGCCAGCCGGTTGCCGTTGAGGCTGAGCAACCTTGAGGGAAGGCGTCCAGATGTTAACATCGGTAAAGCGGGACACCAGTGATTAAAAATTTGGTCTAGCCCAGACCAGTTTGGCTCAATGGATAGAGCGTCGGCTTGGGGACTGAAAGGTTCCAGGTTCGATTCCGGTCAGGGGCATGTGCCTTGGTTGCGAGCATATCCCCAGTAGTGCAAGAGGCAGCTGATCGATGACTCTCTCTCATCGATGTTTCTAACTCTCTCCCTTCCTCTCTGTACAAAATCAATAAAATATTTTTTTTTAAAAAATTTGGTCTATATAGAGCAACAAAAATGTTCATAGAACGCAAAGATAGTATTGTAATTATATATATATATATTTTTTTTTTAATTTCAACCTAAGTACAATTTACAAATATAATAAATAAATAAAAATTATGTATAGTCGTTAAGTGTCACTTTCAAGGACGGGGTGCTAGACTTTTTGCCGCCACTATAACATAGAAATAATACGAGTGCTGTCTGCTACAAATTCAAGAAAATTTATGAAATAATTTAGGTAATTGATTTATTTATCTGAATAGCTGAATAGCTGATTTGTAATGACATCACTTGTTTAACGAGCTTACTAGCACGCAGTACGATGTGTATCGTCTGAGAGAGAGTTACAAAACGTTTTCGTCGTTGCCAATCCCCCAAAATGCCACTGTTCATGAAGTCCAAACAATGGTGGTCGAATGCTAACAACCGATCAACCATGCGAACTTTGATAAGCAGTTCTCAATAATCGGTTCCCAACCATTATTTGTTGTTATTAAAGTTTAACATTATAAAACAAACAAAAATAATATGAAACTCCTATCCTGGCTACATAGCCCCACGGCCGCCGAAAACCATCTATTCCCTTCCCGTTCTCCCGCCATTCCCTAGCTTGTCGTGCATTCTTTCCAAAAATGGGGACTTTTTTTTTTTTAATTTATTGATTTTTTACAGAGAGGAAGAGAGAGGGATAGAAAGCTAGAAACATCGATGCGAAAGAAGCATCCATCAGCTGCCTCTTGCACACCCCCTACTGGGGATGTGCCCGCAACCACGGTACATGCCCTTGACTGGGATCAAACCCGGGACCTTTCAGTCCGCAGACCGACGCTCTATCCACTGAGCCAAACCGGTTTCGGCAAATCGGGATGTGGGACCAATTGTTAGAAATCGGGACCGTCCCGCCAAAAGAAGGACATCTATCGTCACCTTACCTTAGGGCGACCAGATGGCTGAACACGCCGGGCGGGAGGAAGGTCAGGTAGTTGTTGTTCAGGAAGAGGCGCTGCAGGCGGGCCAGCCCCTGGAAGACGTCCCAGCAGGACCCCGTCTCCCAGGCCAGCTGCAGCATGTTCTCCCCCAGGAAGAGCTGCTCCAAGCTGGGGCTCCCCACCGGCCGGGGGGCGGCGGCGGCGGCGCACAGGGACAGGCGGTTCTGGTTGAGGACGAGAACCTGGAGCTGGGGGATCTGGAACAGGGCGTAGAGCTCGTCCACCCGCTCCAGCCGGTTCTCCGACAGCTGCACGAAGCTGGCCTCGAACCCGGCGCTGGGCAGCGTCACCAGCTTGTTGCCCCCCAGGTAGAGGGTGGGGATGCTCGGGACGAAGCTGACGGTCTTCAGGGCGTTGTCCCGGAGGTCCAGGGTCTGCAGGCTCCGCAGGGACCGGAACGTCCGGGCCTGGACCACCCCGATGTGGTTCCTCTGCAGGTCGATGTAGGCCACGCTGGGCAGGCCGTCGAAGCTGGGGTCGTACAGTTCCCCCAGGAGGTTGAAGGACAGGTTGAGGACCCGGAGGCTGTCCAGCCCGTAGAAGGCCTGGCGGGCGATCGTGTTGACCTTGTTGTGGGCCAGGTTCAGGAGCCTCAGCGCCCCGAGGCTCTCGAAGAGCCGGGAGCCCAGGGCGAAGACGGAGCCGTGCGAGAGGTCCAGGCGTCGCAGCGAGCTGCGGGCCAGGCCGGCGAAGGTGCGCCGGTCGGGGTCCTTGATGTTCTGGAAGCCGAACCCGGGACCCATGACGTGCCAGGCGAGAAGCAGGGAGGCGATCGGGGTGCCGTTGAGGGCGCCGGTGAAGTTCCGCACGAGGTCCACGCTCCAGCCGTTCCTGGACACGTCGAGGGTGTCCAGGACCATGTCCCTGAGCGGGTTCCTGCACGCGGCCCAGTCCACGGAGACTCTGTAGTACAGGTTGGTGGCAGCGAGGCCCAGGAAGGACAGCTCCCTCCCTCGGAGGGGCTGGAGGTCCCGCTCGCACAGGACGGGGACGTCGTTGAGGGAGAAGTCGATGGACGTCAGGGCGTTCAGCTCCCGGAAGGAAGCGGGGAGGGAGAGGCTGTGGATCTGGTTCTTGGACAGGTCCAGGTGGCTCAGTGACGGCAGGTTTCTGAAGTGGCCGTCCCTGAGCACGGCCTCGGAGAGCCCGCAATAGAAGAGCCGGAGCTCAAACAGACGGGGCAGCCCCTGGAAGGCGTCCGGGTGCAGCGAGGCTAGCGTGCTGTGACCCAAGTCCAGCACCCGGAGGTTGGGCAGGTTCCGGAAGGCGGCCCGGCCCACGGTGAAGGCGGTGAGCTGCGTCCCCAGCTCCAGCAGCTCCAGCCGCTCCAGGACGGGGAAGGACGTGGCCGTGACGGCCCGGATGTAGTTGAAGCTCAGCAGGAGGCGCTCCGTGGAGTCGGGGACCGGGGGCACCCGGGTGAGGTTACAGGAACGGTACAGGGCGATGCGACCGTCCGAGGAGCAGGGGGAGATGCTGAGCACGGGGCTGGCCAGCAGCACGGTTCCCAAGAGAAGGTCAAGGTGATTTCCCATGATCCTAGGGAGAAGAAGGGAGGACAGGGAGAACATAGCTCTCTAAGCCCCAGGCATGGCACATGGGTCTTTTTTATTTTTTTAAATATATATTTTATTGATGTTTTACAGAGAGGAAGGGAGAGGGATAGAGCGTTAGGAACATCGATGAGAGAGAATCATCCATCAGCTGCCTCCTGCACACCCCCCACTTGGGGATATGCCCGCAACCACAGTACATGCCCTTGACCGGTATCAAACCTGGGACCTGTCAGTCCGCAGGACGACGCTCTATCCACTGAGCCACACCGGTTTCGGCAGCACACGGGTCTTTAGAATTTGTGCTCTGATACCATATGCCTGTGGCTCTCTTAGCCCAGCGGTCAGCACTCATTAGTCAGCAGAGCCAAACATCAACAGCACAACGATTGAAATTTCTTTGGAGAGCCACATGTTTTAAACTTACATTGTGATGAACTTAATTAGGGTCCCCCTAAGCTGGCCTTTGCTAAACACTCAAGGGGCCAAAGAGCCATTTGCTGACCGCTTTGACCCTCTGGCTGCTGGCTCCCTGCGGTGGACGGTATGTTCTGGTGCAGAGAGCGCTGTTCCCACCGGCTTCCTATCACTTGTTTTTCGTTTCCCACACCCCGAGGCGGGCTCCCTGCTTTGAGGTCATGGACCCCCGAGAGGGGCCGAAGATAGCTCTGACCCCTCGCCTCCCAAACAGGCACTTTTGCACCAGCAACCAAGTTTTGTACCCAATGTCAGAGGGTTCACTGACCTCCTGGAGCCCGCCCCGTCCACCCTCAGTGGTCGGCAAACCGCGGCTCGAGAGCCACATGCGGCTCTTTGGCCCCTTGAGTGTTTAGCAAAGGCCAGCTCAGGAGTTCCCTAATTCAGTTAATCACAATGTACCTACCTAGATAGTTTAAGAAATTTGGCACCTTGCCGAGACCAGTTTGGCTCAGTGGATAGAGCAGCAGCCTGCAGAATGAAAGGTCCCAGGTTCGATTCTGGTCAAGGGCATGGACCTTGGTTGTGGGCACATCCCCAGTGGAATGTGTGCAGGAGGTAGCTGATTGATGTTTCTAGCTCTCTATCCCTCTCCTTCCTCTCTGTAAAAAAATCAATAAAATATATTTTTTAAAGGGGGGGGGGGGTTTTGGAATGGAGGCTTGAGGACAAATATGTGATGCCTTAATCAATAAAGAAACTAATAAAAAAAAATAACCCAATTGTTTATTCAAAATTAAAAAAAAAACTTGATAAAAATTATCTATGAAAATGTTAGATGCAAATGTCCTATGATTAGCATTTCTACTTCTAGGAATTTATTGTACAGATGTCCTTACACATGTATGAAATGTTACCGATATAAAAAAATTTTAAATCCTAAAAAAAAAAAAAAAAATGTCAATGATGAGAGTCATTGATTGGCTGCCTCCTGCACATCCCACAGAGGGGATCAAGCCCATAACCCAGGCCTGTGCCCTGACCGGGAATCGAACCAGGACCTCCTGGTTCATTGGTTGACATTCAACCACGGAGCCATGCCGGGCGTTCAGATTTCATTTTTAACCATAGTGGACAAATATTAGCTTCAGGTGTACAATATGGCGACTCAACATTTAGTTACCTGACCCCCTGGTCACCACAATCAGCCGCGTAGCCATCTGTCAGGGTGCACGGTTATTATAACTTTATTAACTGCATTCTCTGTGCTGCACCTGACATCCCGTGACTTATTTTATGACGGGGAGCAGAGCTGCTCTCCCCAGGATGCCGTGAAGATGATGTATTTTCGTCCTTACCTCCTTGCGCTCACACAAGCCGCCATGGACAGGGTCTCCCTCCCCCTCGGCCCCGGTGGTGTCAGGACTCCTGGTCCCGAGACGGCAGAACCCCACGCAGGGACGGTGGCGGCCAGTGTTTTCCGTGAACCAGGAAACGGGCATTCAGCTGCCTAAAGAGAAACAGGAAATCCAATTAAGAGGATGAAACAGAAAAACAGCACGTGTTTTCCTTACCGCACAGCAGTTCTCTTTGCAGGAGGATTTAAAAACTTAGGTGTGTCTCTTACTGAGCGGAATTAAAAAAAAAAAAATACATTTCTTTATTGATTTCGGAGAGGAAGGGAGAAGGGGGGAGATAGAAACAGCAATGATGAGAGAGAATCATGGATCGGCTGCCTCCTGCACACCCCTTACTGGGGATGGAGCCTGCAATCCAGGCATGTGCCCTTGACCAGAATCGAACCTAGGACTCCCCAGGCTGATGCTCTATCCACTGAGCCAAGCCGGCTAGGGCTGTTGAGTGGAATTCTAATGGGCAAAGATCAAGGCCATTTTGCAAGGCAGGGCCTGTGGCACCTCTGAGCTGAGGGGGTGCCAGGCCCCGCTCTGCTTCACAAGGTGGGCATCTACACCGGCAAATCAAAAGGGCAGCTTTCTCCCCTGTCGCCTCAAGGTGGACAATTTGCATATTAACCTTTTATTATGTAGGATATACACTGACTAATCGGATTATGGTGTGTTCAGAGATTATCATCATCTGGCCACTCAGTGTGAGGCTCCATTGTGTCTTGCTTGCTTAACACATTGTGGACCGGTAGTTGTATTGCTAACGTTACCCAGTGGCCAGGTAAGTTTCTACTGAACGAGGACAAAAAACATTTTACATGAATGCCAAAGGCACGCTTTACAATGAAATACCCACTGCGTTTTGAAGTTGCGTGCCACATGTCCTTACAAGCTAGTTATCTTATTTAAAGAATTTTCATGATTGGGCCACAAGCTTTACAACAGGAAACACTAGAATTCTCGAAATCCATCCATGTGTTCAGTACACAGGCACCAAAGGATTCTAGGCCGGTGGCTCTCAACCTTTCTTTTTTTTTTTTTTTTTTAATATATTTTATTGATTTTACACAGAGAGGAATTGAGAGGGATAGAGAGTTAGAAACGTCGATGAGAGAGATACATCGACCAGCTGCCTCTTGCGCACCCTCTACCGGGGGTGTGCCCGCAACCAAGGTACGTGCCCCTGACCGGAATCGAACCTGGGACCTTTCAGTCCGCAGGCCGACGCTCTATCCACTGAGCCACACCGGTCTTGGCGGCTCTCAACCTTTCTAATGCTACTTCCTACCTGTAATTCTGATCTTAGGCTCCACAGTCTAACACTGCTAGCCGGGTCGCCTAAGACCATCGGAAAACACAGATAATTTACATTACGATTCATTCACAGTAGCAAAATCACAGTTATGAGGTAGCCACGGAAATAATGTTATGGTCGGGGGTCGCCATGACATGAGGAGCTGTATGAAAGTGCTGCGATGTTAGGAAGGTTGAGAACCACTGGGTTGTAGGCAGTGGCACCTCCCCCGGAACGTATTCCTTCTAGAAACCACTGAAGGGGGACCACGAAGGGTGGAGCTGGTGCTCCTGTGGCCCGCACCCCTGGGACATTCTGTGCAAGCAGCCCCGATGGTCCCCAGCACCTGCAGGAGGGGTCCCCCAGAACCACGAGCACCAAGCACAGCAGCCAGAGGCACTGATGGTGTCCTAGACGGGATGCTGAAAACCCAAATGCACGCTTCATACAAAACCCAAAAGCACCTGATGCAAAGGAAGAATCCCTTTCGGGAGAGAATTGAACACACACAACCAGCACGCCACATTCCAAATCCTTGGGGCCTGGCCGGTGTGGCTCAGGGGTTCAGCAGCGACCTAGGAACCAGGAGGTCATGGTTCGATTCCCGGTCAAGGCACAGGCCTAGGTGGCAGGCTTGATCGCCAGTGGGGAGCATGCAGGAGGCAGCCAATTGATAATTCTCATCATTGATGTTTCTATCTCTCTCCCCATTTCTGTTCCTCTCTGGAATCAATAAAAATATATTTGGGGAGAAAAAAATTTTTTTAATCTCTGGTGAGAAATAGCTCACCAATGAATTGCACATCTAGACCCTGTTCAGGTCCAGGCACCAATATTCACAATTAGAGGGTTCCTAGCGGCTCTGCTAGGCTTCCCAAATGTATAATAACTAGGCCAACGCTGGCGTGCGGACGGGCACAGCAAAGTGCCAGGAAAGATGGGCAGCTGCAAGGCCGGAGCCAGAGCAGCCGGGAGCCGGGGGTCCCAGAATACATCCCTAAAAGTGACCCAGGGACAGTGTGCTCAGAGCAGCAGGAATAATCTGGATGGTGGTGCAAAGTGGGAGCAGGTGGGTGGGTGGAGGCGGGGGGCGGGAGGGGGGAGCGGGGGGCGGACGGGGAAAAGAAACCTTACTAAACTGTGATCTGCCAGAGGATGGAAATGGGAGAAGAGATTAGAAAACACTTGAGAACCTTCCTGGCAGGAATCTGGAGTCTGAAGGCACCAAGAGGAACCTGCTTGTAGGGAGAGGGGGGGAAAAGGGGATCAAATCAAGCCAGCTCTGCAGCTGTGGAGACACCCGCTGGTGGGGGTGGAGGAGGGAGGGAGGGGAGAGGGCGGGGGGCCAGCAGGAGTGGCCCTGGTCTCGGTGCACGCTGGGTGCAGGAGAGGAAAGACGATTCCATGGGCTGCACCCAGGGACCAGGTGCAGGGCCAGGCCGGGCTGGGGACCCCACCCCTGCTGGCAGCCCCGGTCCTGCCCGGTGCCCAGGTTCCGTGCCCGCAGGGAGGCTTATGGAGCACGGGAACCGCCCTGGGCAGGCTGCCCGGTGGCTGAGCCCCTGCTGAGTGAGGTGGAGCCAGCCAGAGACTTGGCTGGACTTCCCGTGGGTGTGACTGCCTGGGATCCTGGCAGACGCCTTGGGCTGGGCCCGGTTGCAGGCGTGACTCAGTGGTGAAGCATCGACCTAAGAACCAGGAGGTCAGGGTTCGATTCTGGGTCAGGGCGCATGCCTGGGTTACAGGCTCCATCCCCAGTGGGGGGGGTGCAGGAGGCAGGCGATCCATGATTCTCTCTCATCATAGATGTTTCTGTCTCCTTCTCCCTCTTCCTCCATCTCTGAGATCAATAAAAATATATGGAA